GTCTTATAAATATCATTCCAATTAAAATGATTCAATTCTAACTTTTCTTCCCCTTTTCTCCTCCCAGTAGCAATAAACAAAAAATTACCATAAGATTGTATAAATCTTTTATCCCGTTTACTCTTTTTATGAAAAATTCAACATTACAGGGTATGATAGGGTATGCAATGGCCTTTTAAAATCAACTTTAGCTAAATATTTCCTTATTGTAGATAATACACCATGATATTGGAGAAAATCAGTATTTATCTGATAAATTTTAGCAAATTCTTGAAATGTTTTAAAAATACAAGTCTCAATGTCTCATAAATTATAGTCACCCCTTTATTATACCATGTCTTGAAAAATCGATTTCCCCCCCATAGGCAAATGCCTTTAATACTATAATGACATTGTCCAGATGCAACTTTTATTGAAATTGTTGATGAAGTTACTATTTGGAAAATTATCTAGAATTGTGGAAATGCACAACAAGGTATAAAATCGTTAGCCATCTTACACACACGAGGAGGTGTGTATCGTTTGCGATGCCTTGTAAATTTTTAATGTGTTTCTCCTTTTCTAATTTTTGCGAACAAGCCAAGAATTTGCATTTAGAAATATGGTTATAAAACCATTCTATATTATTGAGCACTATATAATAATGACACATGTCGTTCTATATTTCTCGCATGCTTCTAATTTGAATTCAAATAATTCCTTCGCTGAACATGTACTTTAATAAAACGCTATGGATCCACGTTGTAGTGAATATCCTTGTTAGCACCCGCCTTTATGTGTTTATTTAGTGGTACAACAGAGTCTTGTATCTATATCGGACAGCATGTATGGACATACGAACAGATTACCTCCCCTTGTATAAACTGATAACAAGATTTACCACATGTACCTGATAGTTTGGTACAGCTATATAAATATGATCATCGGGGGTGCCACTTTTACCTAAAGTCGATCTAAACCCATAAAACACGTAAATTTACTCTGAACACCTTAGTTTAGGTCCAATAGCTGTAACCAATTATCCGGTCCCTGTAGTTTTTACTATGTCAAAACGTAGCCCGAGTTTCCTCTGGCCCTAACACCAGACTTAGACATTTTGACATATAGACACCAGACATCTATATGTCCAAATGTATAAGTCTGGTGTTAGGGCCAGAGGAAACTCGGGCTAGTCAAAACGAAGCATTCACATCGATTTCCTAGATCGGGATTTGATTCGCCCGTGATTTGATTCGGCCGAATATAAGCTCAAAGAGTTCCGAATGAAAAAAAAGTTTTCTAAACCAGGGTTCAGTTTTAAAATAATTTCCTGATCATAATGGTGTCAATGGTCCGTCTACTGAATCTATGGCAAGCCAAGGTGTCATTTATTCATGGAGCAATGTTGATCCAGTACTTCATCAAATTATATAAGATATCTTATATATTATATACGATATCTTATAATAATATAAAATATCTTATAAACATAAAAGATATCTTATTTAAAGTTTATGAGATATCTTATATCTTTTATAAGATATCTTATTAAAAATATAAGATATCTTATATGATATATAAGATATCTTATAAAGAAAATTAATTGAGATATCTTATAAAGAACGAGACTCTCGCGAGACGGACAAAGAAGAAATGTTTGAAAATGACTGCTCCCGGTGTAAGGTCACATCCGTTTTCGTTGGCGATAATTTTGTTGAATAAATGACATCTTGGCTTGCCATAGTTATAGTAGTTTCAGTTTGATAACTGGTCCCATTGTCATAGGCAGCCATTTTCGATCAAATCCTCTCGGACACTTTCGGTTATCGATAAGTTGAATTCGTATACCGGGACCTTTCCGTGTATGCGGGACAACCGATGTCCGTTTTTAAATGTACTATTTAATTTACGGATATAAATCCCGGCGGACCTGTATACAGGCCTTGCACGGCTTTGTCGGAAAGCAGCATCAGATTACTGGGCCGACCTTATTTCATAAACGAACAACTTTGACGCTATCGGTTCAACCTTTTGGATCGCGATAACGAAAACGGCCCCGGTTACAGTATCGAATGCTTACTAATGTTTAAAAAGAACATATTTTCGCTTCCGAATGTTTTGGTTGTCAATTTGCATGAACATACTTACGAACAAACAACAGTTTCTCTTCGATCGAAAAGATATATTATACTAAATGTAGAATTAATAACAATGCTCCAAACAAACTCAAACTGATTTAAAATATTTGTAATATATTGATATTTCAAGCGATAACCTTGAGTTTTGAATTCAATAACTGCATATAAATATCGGACATGAGTTCTCATTAAGGACACGCACAGAATAAATACACTTAGGTACCACCAAGTTATTAAACCAAGGTTCGGGTTGCATCCAAATTCATGCTTATCACAGATATTGAACAGAAAAAAACAACTTATAAGCCAGTTTGTTTTTATTCGTATTTAGATATTAAACTGCAGATTCTTGGACTAGTCATCTATTTATTTGAATATTAAAACTATCAGCAATTTCATAATCTGGGTTTAAAGAGATACTTTTGACGTTTAGAAGTACGGCATTCAATAATTGTAAAATATCTCCTCGTCGACTCTGACGCAAATGAGCCGGAAATTGGATTTTAAAATTGTCGAGTGTAATTGTAATGTCAACATTCTGATCTGGTTTAATCTAGTGCTTGTCGTTTTGAAATGAGGTCATGTAATTTACTGCTAAGCAAACCTGTTGAAACCATGCATGATGATTATTCTCCATATTTGCGGGAAAATATTTGACAGAATAATGCAACTCTTTAGTTAAATTGATCGATTTCTTTCTTTCGTTTTTGGAAAGAAAATATGTTCAAGTCAAGCTTTTTCTTTTACGCATATATACAACGATTTAATCTCGGAACATAAACTCGAAACTGTTTAGCATAAAAACATATGTAGATTATTTCTCATTGTTTCATGGTGAGTACCATATGTATTTCACAAGTATGGAAGAATAATGATAGTTTACACGTGTGTGAAGCACGAGCAATCATATCGATATATTCATACCCGATATCCAGGGGCTACACTCACTTTCGCTCTCTGCACCCCTGGAATATGTCATAGAAAAATTGAAGGCTCGGCGTGCGCCACCTTGTTGATGAGATAGAGTACTAGTTTGATCCTTTGATATACATCAAAATAATCTCGCGGTCACGTAACGGTAAAAAATAACAGGCTTTGAAGTCGGATGCTCTCCTTTGTAGGCTTCAAAAAACAATTATCTGCCTAGCGATTGGTCAGGTTTCTTACCTGAGACCAATCAAACAGCTATCTTCGTGCCTTCAACTTTGCTATGACATATTCCAGGGCAACCTCGATATCCAGGGGTAACACTCACTTTCGCTCTCTGCACCCCCGGAATATGTCATAGAAAAATTGAAGGCTCGGCGTGCGCCCCCTTGTTGATGAGATAGAGTACTAGGTTTATCCTTTGATATACATCAAAATAATCTCGCGGTCACGTAACGGTAAAAAATAACAGGCTTTGAAGTCGGATGCTCTCCTTTGTAGTCTTCAAAAAACAATTATCTGCCTAGCGATTGGTCAGGTTTTTTACCTGAGACCAATCAAACAGCTATCTTCGTGCCTTCAACTTTGCTATGACATATTCCAGGGGTGCAGAGAGCGAAAGTGAGTGTTACCCCTGGATATCGAGGTTGCCCTGGAATATGTCATAGCAAAATCGAAGGCTCAATGTGCAGCACCTTGTTGATGAAGCAAGAAGACTAGTTTGGCCTTTCATGTACATCAAAAGAATATCGCGGTCGCGTAACGGTAAAAAATGGCAGGCTTTGAAGTCGGGCGTCGCTCCTTTGAAATCTTCAAAGGACAATTATCAGCCTAGTGATTGGCCAGGTTTTTTTTACCTGACACCAATCAAATAGCTAGCCGCGCGCCTTCATTTTTGATATGACATATTCGAGGGGTGTAGTGAGCGAAAGTGAGCGTAACCCCTGGATATCGAGGACTCCCCATTGGTAGCTATATAGTATAGGGAATTGGGACATAACATGGAAACTCATTTTCCTGGTGCCTTTCCCACCAAAACAGATTTATATGTAGTTCTTCTTGCAACTTTGTTTATTGTACTCCTTTGATAAACCTTTATGGTACTCAGCCGGTTTTCAATTGAAGCGAAGCCAAGGCGGAGAGAAAAAAAGTAGGCAATCAAGTGTACGACTTTTATATATGAAATTTCGCCTCTTGAATAGTAGCAAACCCCTTATATTGAACATTGTAATCCGACCGAACAAAATGTCAATGATTTCTGCACACTCATGTAACTGATTATTGGGTCCGGACACTTTAGTCCATAAGGGGACATTTAGAACTCTAATGTCATTGACCTATTCTAGGAATAATATCTTTATGAAGGATCCCTGTACCACTGCCAAAACTGTAACTATGAATTGGAATTGTTAGGTAATATCAATGTCGGTTATCCTAACAAACGATTTTTACCATCCGGAGGTCACACGTGACGTGACACTTTGACGACACCAATTGGTGTAGCCGTTTTTATACGCAAACGGCCATACCTAAGATCCATTATGATACAAGTAGGACAAGGGAAGATAAGCTACATCAGACCACGCCGAGGTCTACGTCATAACCCCTACAGCGTTTTAACTGTGCAAAAGTGATAGTGCTTGCTCATCGTTCCATAGTCGCCATGTGAATGCCCAATCAATATACTAGTTTTATACCTGTTACGTATTAAATATTCAATATTGATGAGATGAGAACACAAATTAAAGTTCATCTCCCAAATGTGTTATTAAAAATTCTGACTGAATCTCACATGTATTCAATTTCGACGGTAAAGAACTGTACATGTCCCACGAGTGGACTGACCCTCGTAAATGATTAGTGCAACGGGTCGATTTTATTAACCAATCCATATCTAAACTACACCAGATAAAAAGGACGCAGACACTCTTTCCCATAGCCCAACGAAAACTACACCGAGTGTTTGAACAAATGTAGGCGGTCTAGCTTACTGCTTGAGTTAAAGCATATCTTTATCTCGCTGTCAGTGACCCTTACGTATTCTGATACTGCAGACCAGGTAAGTTAAACTGAAAGCACTGTTCGATAAATTTTGTAACTAACATCTTTAAAAGAACACAAGAAGTCCTTTTTTGTGTGTGTGTTAACGTTGTATGCGGTTATATCTCTGCACAGCCTATCTATAACAATTTCATGTTTTCCCGTGTGTGTCTTGATAAAGGAGCGGATCGGTCTACATTGTTGCAAGTACTTCCTTGTCCCATATATAACCTTTGATATATAAAAATAGTAACAAATTATCACTTTACATTTTTTTCTAATCTTCAGTGCGCGGAAGAAGATAATCGGGCGAATATCGGTCAGAAGATAATCGGGCGAATATCGATAAAAAACAAGATCGAAGACGGAACATGTTGGGAATGTACCGAATGCCATGGCTTCCTGTTTTGATGATCGGAGTACATCTTGTTACGGCCTCAACTTTTTATCCAAGTTCTTGGAATTGTTCGACTGAGGTAGGTGTTCATTCCTGTATATAGTATGAGCTTTACATGTACTGTTGTTCCTGTATACAATATAACCTCTACAAAACCTGTATACAATATGACCTCTACAAAACCTGTATACAATATGACCTCTACAGTACCTGTATACAATATAACCTCTACAAAACCTGTATACAATATGACCTCTACAGTTCCTGTATACAATATGACCCCTACAGTTCCTGTATACAGTATACCATCTACAGTACCTGTATACAATATGACCGCTATTGTTCCTGTATACAATATGACCCCTACAGTTCCTGTATACAATATGACCTCTACAGTTCCTGTATACAGTATACCATCTACAAATTCTGTATACAGTATGACTTCTAAATTTCCTGTATACAATATGACCGCTATTGTTCCTGTTTACAATATGACCTCTACAGTTCCTGTATACAATATGACCTCTATTGTTCCTGTTTACAGTTTGAACTCTACAGTTCCTGTATACAATATGACCAATACAGTACCTGTAAACAATATGACCTCTATTGTTTCTGTTTACAATATGACCTATACAAATCCTGTATACAATATGACCTCTACAGTACTTGTATACAATATGACCGCTATTGTTCCTGTATACAGTATAACCTCTACAAATCCTGTATACAATTTGACTTCTACAGTACCTGTATTCAATATGACATCTATTGTTTCTGTATACAATATGACCCCTACAGTTCCTGTAAACAATATGTCCTCTACAGTTCTAGTGTCACATATGACCTCTACAGTACCTGTATACAATATGACCCATACAGTTCCTGTATACAATATGACCTCTATTGTTCCCGTATACAGTATAACCTCTACAAATCCTGTATACAATATGACTTCTACATTTCCTGTTTAAAATATGACCTCTATTGTTCCTGTATACAGTATAACTTCTACAAATACTGTATACAATATGACTTCTTCATTTCCTGTATACAATATTACCGCTGTTGTTCCTGTATACAATATGACCTCTATTGTTTCTGTATACAATATAACCTCTACAAATCCTTCATACAATATGACCTCTACAGTACCTGTATACAATATGCCATCTACAGTTCCTGTATACAATTGGACCTCTACAGTTCCTGTATAAAATATGACCTCTACAGTACCTGTATACAATATAACCTCTACAAAACCTGTATACAATATGACCTCTACAGTTCCTGTATACAATATGACCCCTACAGTTCCTGTATACAGTATACCATCTACAGTACCTGTATACAATATGACCGCTATTGTTCCTGTATACAATATGACCCCTACAGTTCCTGTATACAATATGACCTCTACAGTTCCTGTATACAGTATACCATCTTCAAATTCTGTATACAGTATGACTTCTAAATTTCCTGTATACAATATGACCGCTATTGTTCCTGTTTACAATATGACCTCTACAGTTCCTGTATACAATATGACCTCCATTGTTCCTGTTTACAGTTTGAACTCTACAGTTCCTGTATACAATATGACCGCTACAGTACCTGTAAACAATATGACCTCTATTGTTTCTGTTTACAATATGACCTATACAAATCCTGTATACAATATGACCTCTACAGTACTTGTATACAATATGACCGCTATTGTTCCTGTATACAGTATAACCTCTACAAATCCTGTATACAATTTGACTTCTACAGTACCTGTATTCAATATGACATCTATTGTTTCTGTATACAATATGACCCCTACAGTTCCGGTATACAATATGTCCTCTACAGTTCCAGTATAACATATGACCTCTACAGTACCTGTATACAATATGACCCATACAGTTCCTGTATACAATATGACCTCTATTGTTCCTGTATACAGTATAACCTCTACAAATCCTGTATACAATATGACTCCTACAGTTCCTGTATACAATATGACCTCTATTGTTCCTGTATACAGTATAACCTCTACAAATCCTGTATACAATATGACTTCTACATTTCCTGTATACAATATGACCTCTATTGTTTCTGTATACAATATAACCTCTACAAATCCTGTATACAATATGACCTCTACAGTTCCTGTATACAATATGACCTCTACAGTACCTGTATAAAATATGACCTCTACAGTACCTGTATACAATATGACCTCTACAGTACCAGTATACAATATGACCTCTATTGTTCCTGTATACAGTATAACCTCTACAAATCCTGTATACAATTGGACTTCTACATTTCTTTTATACACTATGCTTCTTTGATACCTGTTTGTAGTCTTACATTGTGGTTCCTGTATTGAGATCCGTTTACTTTTATGTTACCACCGTTTGTTTAACAAATTGTTTGGTTTGTTATTAGGTCTATGCTATATCAAGGAGGGGTGTAACATACCTGTTTATCAAAGTTTTACTGTGTATAAACGAGTTACATTGAGGTTTTACTGTATATTAACATATGGCATTATATTCAGGTTTTACTGTTACTAACGAGTAGTGTTACATTGTTTACTGTATATTAACATTGGGCATTATATCGAGGTTTTACTGTTTCATACAAGTGGTGTTACATTGAGGTTTTACTCTATACTAACAATGGGCATTATATCGAGGTTTTACTGTTTCTAACGAGTAGTGTTAGATTGTTTACTGTATATTACCATTGAGCATTATATCGAGTTTTTACTGTTACTAACAAGTAGTGTTACATTGAGGTCTTACTTATATTATCATCGAGCATTATATCGAATTTTTACTGTTACTAGCTAGTAGTGTTACATTGTTTACTGTTTATTAACATTGGGCATTATATCGAGGTTTTACTGTTAATAACGAGTAGTGTTAAATTGAGGTTTTACTATTACTTACGAGTAGTGTTACACTGAGGTTTTACTCTATATTAACATTGGGCATTATATCGAGGTTTTACTGTTACTAATGACAAGTGTTACATTGAGGTTTTACTCTATATTAACATTGGGCATTATATCGAGGTTTTACTGTTAATAACGAGTAGTGTTACATTAGAGTTTAACTGTGAATTAACATTTGGCATTATATCGAGGTTTTACTGTTAATAGCGAGTAGTGTTACATTGTTTACTGTATATTAACATTGGGCATTATATCGAGGTTTTACTGTTACTAACGAGTAGTGTTACATTGAGGTTTTATTGTTACTTACGAGTAGTGTTACACTGAGGTTTTACTCTATATTAACATTGGGCATTATATCGAGGTTTTCCTGTTACTAATGGCAAGTGTTACATTGAGGTTTTACTCTATATTAACATTGGGCATTATATCGAGGTTTTACTGTTAATAACGAGTAGTGTTACATTAGAGTTTAACTGTGAATTAACATTTGGCATTATATCGAGGTTTTACTGTTAATAGCGAGAAGTGTTACATTGTTTACTGTATATTAACATTGGGCATTATATCGAGGTTTTACTGTTTCTAACGAGTAGTGTTACATTGTTTACTGTATATTACCATTGAGCATTATATCGAGTTTTTACTGTTACTAGCGAGTAGTGTTACATTGTTTACTGTATATTAACATTGGGCATTATATCGAGGTTTTACTGTTAATAACGAGTAGTGTTACATTGAGGTTTTACTGTTACTTACGAGTAGTGTTACACTGAGGTTTTACTCTATATTAACATTGGGCATTATATCGAGGTTTTCCTGTTACTAATGGCAAGTGTTACATTGAGGTTTTACTCTATATTAACATTGGGCATTATATCGAGGTTTTACTGTTAATAACGAGTAGTGTTACATTAGAGTTTAACTGTGAATTAACATTTGGCATTATATCGAGGTTTTACTGTTAATAGCGAGAAGTGTTACATTGTTTACTGTATATTAACATTGGGCATTATATCGAGGTTTTACTGTTTCTAACGAGTAGTGTTACATTGTTTACTGTATATTACCATTGAGCATTATATCGAGTTTTTACTGTTACTAGCGAGTAGTGTTACACTGTTTACTGTATATTAACATTGGGCATTATATCGAGGTTTTACTGTTAGTAACGAGTAGTGTTACATTGTGGTTTTACTGTTACTTACGAGTAGTGTTACACTGAGGTTTTACTCTATATTAACATTGGGCATTATATCGAGGTTTTACTGTTTCTAACGAGTAGTGTTTTTACTGTTACTAGCGAGTAGTGTTACACTGTTTACTGTATATTAACATTGGGCATTATATCGAGGTTTTACTGTTAGTAACGAGTAGTGGTACATTGTGGTTTTACTGTTACTTACGAGTAGTGTTACACTGAGGTTTTTCTCTATATTAACATTGGGCATTATATCGAGGTTTTACTGTTCCAAATGACAAGTGTTACATTGAAATGACAAGTGTTTCATTGAGGTTTTTCTCTATATTAACAATGGGCATTACATCGAGGTTTTACTGTTTATAACGAGTAGTGTTACATTGAGGGTTTACTCTATATTAACAATGGGCATTACATCGAGGTTTTACTGTTTATAACGAGTAGTGTTACATTGAGGTTTTACTCTATATTAACAATGGGCATTACATCGAGGTTTTACTGTTTCTAACGAGTAGTGTTACATTGTTTACTGTATATTACCATTGAGCATTACATCGAGGTTTAACTGTTACTAACGAGTAGTGTTACATTGTTTACTGTATATTACCTTTGAGCATTATATCGAGATTTTACTGTTACTAACGAGTAGAGTTACATTGAGGTTTTACTGTGTATTAACATTGGGCATTATATCGAGTTTTTACTGTTACTAACGAGTAGTGTTATATTGTTTACTGTGTATTAACATAGGGCATTATATCGAGTTTTTATTGTTACTAACGAGTAGAGTTACATTGAGGTTTTACTGTGTATTAACATTGGGCATTATATCGAGGTTTTACTGTTCCAAATGACAAGTGTTACATTGAAATGGCAAGTGTTACATTGAGGTTTTACTCTTTATTAACAATGGGCATTACATCGAGGTTTT